CCCAAAGGATCACCATTAAACTTTAACACAGATATTTAGAAAAGTTATGACATGGGTGTGAGACTTGGGTGGATGGGTCTTTTAGAGATCTGTCAAAATTTAATAGTGATCCTTGGGGTCTTACTCGGATGGGTGTGGGAGGGTCTTATAGTATCATTACTCATGTATATTATATAATATTTTTTATGTTATTTTATAGATATAAAATAATTTTTTTGGATCCAATCAGATCTGGATTGTGATCCTAATATCTTGGATCCGAATGTGGATCCCTTGTATACTTTTTGGATCCGGATCTGGACACGATCTTACTCATTCTCAACCCTACGACTAATCTTCTAATTGACCATTTCGACCTCGAGAGTATGGATATGAAAACTAATGATCCTAAAAGTAGTACATCCTCTATCATACTTATCTAGATCATTTATTTTCAAAAATTTTAAATGTTTATAGATATGTTTAATCCATATCATTTTTTGAGAGATTTCATAATTAGGAAATCGATTTTTAGATCATCGTAAGGTTTTTGACATTGAAACTGGCAGAAATGGTGCTTTACTTTGATTGTTTGATGTAGATCCCTTGCATAAACCACACATTTATTTTATTATACTGAGAAAGTTTGAGTTGTGACCAGGGTTTAACGGACTACCAAATCGACTCGGCCCCATTGGGGTTATTGGCTGAGTCCGAGCGAGTCAACTGGCACCTTGCCTCCATGTGAATAAACCCAAGAAAACGAAGTTTTAAGTCCTTTTTTCAGATTTTTGTATCAATAATTAATATGGTGCTACTTAACCTTCGTTGAATAACCCTTATTAACCCAATTAGTTCATTTGGATCAATTAGATATTTTGGCGAGGTTTTCTCATTAAAATATCGTGTTTCTTCAACCCAAAAAAACAAATTTATTGTTTTTCCAATTTCCCCCTCGATTATTGTTGAAATAACTTGAAATTTGTTTCAAATTAAACATATTTAAGCCCTCTATCAAACTTATAACAATTTATTAGATCAAGATCTAAAATAAGATAAGTCAGAGTTTTCAAATTTTAGTTCTTTCAAAGAATAGAAACAAAATCTTTGATTCCTCTCATTATTTCATCCAATTCCTTGAAATTTATCCCAAGATGTTCATATCACATTAAGACTGAACAAAATTACACAAAATGTTTTTTAAAAAAATCATAGGTATGGCATCTCTCCTTCAAAGAGATAACAAGTCATCATGTATCCTAAAATGCCAGAAAAATAACATAATATATCATATCACAGCCTCCCTCGTGTTCTCAAAATCTGATGCCCTCTCAAAGAACCCCGCAAGCTTTAGAAAGTCTCTATCCCTTAAATCGCTAATAAAAACAGCTCTCTAACTTTTAAATCACCAATAAATTACTGAAATTTTTTTTTAGGTAACTAAAAGTTGTAAGTCAGTAGGAATTTTTGGGCCCTTACTTTTTTTGGTGAGAATAGAATAAGAGAACAACTACTGATATAAAACTAACCTAGTGTAAAACCATCAACAAAATTAAGGAAGTCTAGTAGCTCATCTATGCCTAGCAAATAAATATGTTGTTCGCCTGGTGAAAATTCCGGGTGACATGAGAGGTGAGAAAATCAATTCTACGATTAATTAAATTAGGGTGGGCCCTAGACAGGCTCAGACCTAACCGGGCCCTAATAGGGCCAAATAACTCCTGGCCCAGCCTTGACCTTATTCAAGCAGGGGCCAAATAGCAAAAAAGAAAAATAAGAGAAAACTATGAAGAACAAAAGGGTCAGCCTAGTTAGCCCTAGCCGAGGCCCTTATTTTTTAGGGCTAGGCAATGCCACCCAGTCAATTGCCTAGGGGTGGCAATGGGTCGGTTCGGGTCCGGGACCCAAACAATGATATGGGACACGAACTTGTACCTGAATTCACCGGCCCCTATCATATCCGACCTGAAAATTAAAATATTTATGTATCTTAATTATATGGGCAATTGTTTCATACAACAGTTGTATAGTAATATGATACAACAATCTTCAAAAACTATGTTAGGGATATTTTTTAAATCCAATTTTTAAAATATACACTCTTTTCATTCTAATGAACAATCACAAAAAAAGATAAATTTGAAAACACAACCTAGAAAGTATTTTTTTAGCCCAATTAACATATGCTATCCATTTTGATGAGATGTTTAGATCTAGGCATTAGAGTGATCTTTTTTCTTTCCAAATTTTTTAGATTGTTTTACTATCACTAGATTAACAATATTAAAAAAGAAAAAATTGATTTTGAATTCATAAAGGCCTAGATCTTGAAATTCATCATATAGACGGTCTAGATTCATTGTTGGAGGGAACTCATTTTGACAATATATAAAGTGCAAATTAGTTCTTTTTTTAGATTGAATATTGAGATAAAGAGAGTGTATGTACAAATTTTTGGTCATAAAAATACCACAAACATGGTTTTCTAGAAGTGTAGTTGCATTAAACTATGATACAATTGTTGCATGAAATCACGGCCCTGATTATATTTAAATATATTTTATATATGAAAATTTTTTATAAGAGCCGAGGCTCTAATCAATGAAATTGAAGCCAACCTCAAAAATTTCACTATAAGATGTTGTTTTGATGCCCAAATATCCTCAAATTGATCATCTTTGACATCAAGATGCATGGACATGAGAAAAAAAAAAAAGATTTCAAGTTTTGGAAATAGTGTATTTTGTAACACATTTTTTTACCATCAATTTTCAAGTTTTCATAGATCTGTCGATCTACATTATTTTTGAAACTTTAAACATTATAAATAAAGATGAAAAATATATTTTAAGGCTATCACAAAGATTTCTAGTATTGAAACCATATTTCTCAACACTATTTGAAGTAGGCGCTAATTTGATTGTTTAGAGCCTAGACTCTATACAAACCGTACCTTTTATATATTGGGACTCGAAAAATATTACAAGACCAGCACCTGATCCGATCCGGATCCGGATTCGGACCTGAATAGTATTCAGATCCAAGATTGAAGTTCAATTTTTGGACCCAAACTCAATCTCAGATCGGGTCTAGGGGTCCCGAGTCTGGTCTAGGTCCAAGTCCATTGCCACCCCTACAGGTACCCCCTTAAATGAAATCATAAAGCATGAGTCGTGTGACAGATCATTGAACCAGTGTTTCATCGAGCTCGAAAAAAGATGGTAGGCTTTGAGGGAAATTCTGAGGGAGGGAGGAGTGCATACTGGGGATTGGATGACATTGGCTAGAGATGATGAATTTGGGAGAGAATTTTGAAGATTTTGAGTAAGTTTGAGGAAGTGGAGACAGATCTTTGGAAGGAGATGAGGATGAGAAAAACAAAATCAAAGAAGGAAAGAGAAGGGAGATAAACAGTTGATGCCGCAAACTTAGGATCCGTTTGGGTACCTGATGAATGAAGCATGTCCAAGGGACAGGTTTCTTCTGGAATTGGCACGTCCATGGGATAGTGGTCTATATTGTTTGGATGGAACCTAGCTTGGGTACCTGAAGAAGCCTGTCATGGGGATAGGCTACTCCTCGAATTGGCTTGTCCATGGGATAGCGTTTGTACTATTTGGATGGCACCAAGAAACATGGAATTGGCCTATCCATGTGATAGGGGTTTGTCCTATTTGGATGCCCCCTAGTAAGAAACATCAAATATGTGTGTCCATTGTTTGGATTGCCCAGAGGATATGAATCCCAAACTACATAATTACTATGGAAAAGATTTGTTTTTCTTAACTCTTGGGGATATGCATTTTGAGTCCTTTCACAGTTTTACGTGAGACTCTAGTTGTTGAAATCTTTATTTATACAAAATAAACAAATTAGATAAGTAAAAAATGTGGAGAATACAATTCCATGGGAGAGGCTAATCCTATCCGTTTTGTGTGAGCCAATGGTGGATAGCGGCCAAAAACCTGAAGGGACCACTCCGACGGAGTTCTCTCCAAGTACCCAAACGGGTCCTTACATTATATCAGAATGTACAAAAAGATTATTTATCTTTTGTACATGAAGGTTACAATCATTCTTATCTCTTAAGTTTCAAAATTGGTGGTTGTAAAAGAGCCATTGAAAAACATAATGTTCCAAAAAAATTTCTCGGACTTCGTGACTCACCCCAAGCCATCTAAATTGACATCTAATGAATGAAAGTGTTTGTGACATCCATATACAAAAGATAAATTGTCTCTTTGTAAACCGTCCCTATTTGAATCCCTGCTATTTATTTGAACTCTTGGACTCTTGCCGGTTAGATCAAGGGAATAAGAGCCATCAATGCATGAAAAAAAAGAGAAATTTACCCGTTTATACCATTGAAAATTTGTAATGATAAGAATTCTTCTTACTTTTTTTTATATTACACACTTATCCTTTTTGTATGTTATTTTTTATTCTAATTTTACCCCTGGTTCTTTATATTTAATATCCGAATAGAAACTTTGGAATTTTAATATCTATAACCATATTATTTTTTAAGTCGCTTCTACAAAAAAAGAAGAAAAAAAAAAAACTTACATCTGACTTCGAATTTTCAACATCCAAAGTTGTATTGTAATTGAAATTTGCATGCAACTTTGAATATTCAAAATCCAAAGTGACTTGGGATTTCCAAAATCTAAAGTGAATTTTTTTTATTTTTAATTTAAAATATATGAGTGGTGGCTTTGGATTTTGAATCTTTGGAATAAAGGCAAATTTGGGGAAGAAAATAAAAGATGGGAAAAAAAAGGATACGTACATAATATACAAAACTTTTATTGTAATTATAAATTTCAAATGGGATATATGGGTAAATTTCTCAAGGAAAAATATAAAAATAGGGAAAAATGAAGTTAAATGTTTTCGGTTTGCATAGAGCCTAGGCTCTAAGCAATCAAAGTAAAGTGCATCTTCAAATAGTGTTGAAAATTTTGGTTTCAACACTGGAAATATTTTTGATAGCCTTAAAATATATTTTCATCTTTAATTATAAAATTCAAAGCTTAAAAAGTAATGTAGATCTAACAAATCAACGAAAACTTGAAAATATTGAAAATTGATGGTCCAAAAAAGCGCAACAAGATGCACTATTTTCAAAACTTAAAATATATTATTTTATCATGTCTATGCATCTTGATGTCGAGATGATCAATTTGAGCATCAAAACAACTTCTTCTAGTGAAATTTTTGAGGTGGGCTCTAATTTGATTGTTTAGAGCCTCGACTCTATATAAACTTTTTCCTTATTTTAATCATATGAATAAACCTTATATTATATACTAAACTCACTAATATTAATACAAAATATAATTTTAATAAACTTATGATGGTATTAAAATTATATTAAAAATATTTTTTTTTAAATTCTTTGTTTTTTCAAATTCTTACTTGGCAGAAATTTTCGTCCCCTAAAATTTTAAATCCAAAATCCATCTCTAACATAGACTTTGGAGAGAGGACCTCATTTGAATAGGGTTGGGATTTGTGGAAGGTACCCACCATCTGCTATACAAGTAAGGTTGACCTCTAAATTTTGCTAGAAGATGCAGTTTTATGATGGTTTGAAATCGATGTTCAACCCTATAAAATTTAAAATTTAAAATTTCAAAAATAGTGTGTATTGAGCATATCATTACATACATAAAAATCTTATGATGGTTTGAAATCGATGTTCAACCCTATAAAATTTAAAATTTCAAAAATAGCATGTATTGGGCATATCATTACATACATAAAAATATTGAAAATAGACCGTCTAAATAAGTTGTGATAAGATGCCTCTCTTAGGACTTGAAAATCATTTTGCTTCGGAGAGAGGACCTCATTTGAATATGGGTGGGTTTTGTGTAAGGTGCCCACCTTCTACTCTACAAGTAAGGTAGACTTCTAAATTTTTGCTGGAAAATGCAATTTCTGATATAGAAAGCCTTATGATGGCTTGAATGATGTTCAACCCTATAAAATTTAAATTCTAAAAATAGTGTATATTAAGTAGACCTTTACACATAAGAAAATTTTGAAAATAGATCGTCTATATAACTTGTTACAAGATGCTTATGTTTAGAATTCGAAAACCCTTTTGCTTATATTCATACATCTTGAGATCGAGATGATAAATTGGAAGATTTTTCAGTTTTTTATTGGATTTTTGAGATGCACCTTACTTTTATAGCATGAGGCTGCAGCCTCATATAAACTTTAGATGCTTCATAGACAAGGAAAATTGTTTCATGCGGGCTGGACAACATTTCTACATATGCGGTCCAGAAAGTGTAAAGCATCCATCTTAAAGATAGATGCAAGTAGATGTTCCATTTAAAAACAATGAAAACTAACAGTCCAAATGTTTTCTTACTAGAACTATTAATCTATTTTTTAAAATTTATTTATTTTTTTATGCTCATGATTTTCATGTTAGAGATTGCATGTCTTTAAAAATTAAATCTTAAAATCCATCGCAAAAGTAGATTTATTAAGTGGCTCACATTTCTACATATGCGGGCTCGGCCGCATAGAAACCAGGTCCCATGGACAACTTACCCATGTAATTTACCCAACAATTCCAATTCTGTCGTTGTCCTGAAATTTTTCACTTGGATGTCTTGCTTTTGCGACACGTGTCCAGAATCCACCACATATATATACCCCAAAGCCCGCCATTTCCATTTCATTTGAAAGCTGGAATTCAGTTTGACAAAACAAAACAAAACCTATATTTTCTTCTCCTAGTAAGAGCTCTGCTCTCTCTGCGCTTGTTTCATTGAAAAAAAAGAAGAAAAAAGCAATAGAATTCCCATTAATGGAGTTTTAACCATGACTAGGGCTTATCTGTTTGTTTGATTTGTAAATTTGTGGAAATTATACATGATTAACTGCGCTGGAAGACTAAATACTAACGACTAAAGAGAGAATGCAGGTCTGATTTATCGTAGTAATTTGTTATTTGGAAGTGCTTATGGCTTGTAAAGAATTTGACGAACCAGAGAGAAACGTCAGGGGTGCCTTTTATGTGTTATTTTGGCAGTAATAATTTTTTTTTTGTTATTTTGGCAGGAACTTTGTTTGCGATTGACTTTGAGCATTTGGAGTTTGCATGATTTGTGTTTTTTCTATTTCTTCTTGGAAGTGATTTGACCAGTTTCAGTGATAAATTTGGATTGCTAATTTCATGTAATTTATTATGTTTTTTTACTACAGCTGGTAAAGGATTTGGGTGGCTAGAGAGAAAAGTAGGTTGATTTGCCATTTTAATATGTTACTTTTTTGGAATTACGCCTTCAAAATTTCAGATTAGTTTGAGATTGATGAACATTTGGATCATCAATGCAATAAAGTTATTTTTTTTAAAAAAAGTAATTATGTTTGTTTGATGCATATTGTGATAAATAGTATTTCTAAATGATTAAAATTTTCAATGAGGTAAATAAAATGTCACGATAAAATACTAGACATACATGATATAATATCTGTTTTATGTTCTTAGCAACTTCAACTATCTAAGATAATATGAGATGGACCCTCGCTTAGTTTTGCATCATTATAATCTAATAATCAACTATTTTCCTGAGTAAATTTCTGGTCTATTGACTGCAGATACTGAATTTTTGGTAATTACGTTGGATATGATAAGATTGCATGGTTTCTTTTATCAATAAATTGCCATTGGCACAATGTTACAATGGATGGGAGGATCTAGGCGGAAAGTGACCACTGTAAGTGTGGAGTGCTTCTCTTTTATATTGTTTCGCTTGGTAGTTTTCTGAGTTCTGCTCATGTTTAAATTCCATGTTGTGAATGAGGAATAATTAAGGATTAGTCTCGTTCTCTGTTCCAATGAGTTTCTATTTTAACTGAAACACTTTGAAGACTTCAATTCAATGGTCTAGCTGGTCATTATCTCCTTATGTACCTTTACAATTGCACACTGCATATTTAAAGTTCAAATGAATAACTTATGTCCCTTATGCTATGTGGACTGGAGAGTTTCATGAGATAAGAGGACGATTTGGTCTTACGCAAGAATACAAAGGGCACATTCAGCAATATGCCTGGAATACTAGCATAGATATGGCATGGTGCATTTACCTGATATATTTGAAGAAGTTGATGTATGTGGGTCATGGGTTCCATCTGTGGGGATATTTTGCTCTGAAATATCAATATAAAAGTATACAATGAGACCATTTACTTTTTGTACAAGTTGGCCACAATTAATTTTGACCATCGGATATGAAATTGGGTGGCTACATACATTTATTCCATTAACCAGGCTCAAAATTCAGAAAATACTTTTTTGAACTTTGTGATACACCTATGCTACCAGACATCAGATGGTTATAAGTAATTGTGACCTCTTTGTAGCATAAGTAAATGGT